AGTAAGGGTTCAGGCTCACTCTAATATAAAATACCATGAGAGTGGTTACTGGTGAAGGGCATTTTAAAATTCTCGCTGAAGATCAGTTCCCTGGATGTAGATAGTTGGTAATTTTAAATGTTTTATATTTTGTCTTCTGGATAATAATATTTTGCCTACAGGGATAAACCATGCCTTCTGTTTGTCATGTGTGTTAGAGGATTAAATGTTATGGATGCATGCTTTTCATGTGTTGAGGCAGGACCTCATTAGTATGAAAGGGTTTCACTGCGTGACATTGATCTCATCTGTTTGCAATAATGAGTAAATGTATATGAAACTGCTAATTATCTGAAAACTGCTATGTATGCCTTTAACGCTTCATATGATTCCCATATTTAATTTGATTACATGGGTTGAATAATGATTGCACAATATACTTTCTAGTCAGAGTTGGAAAGCAGAGACTTTGCTTTCTAAAGACTTTGTTGATGAAATGTTTTTTACAAAGTTACTTTGATGGTTTGTTTTTGGTTTGTTTGGTTTTTTTGTTTGTTTGGGTTTTTTTTGTTTGGTTTTTTTTTCTTTTTTTGTTTTTTTTTGTTTTTGTTTTTCTGTGAGGTTTCACATTGTTTGCCAGGTATTTTGAGAAGCTGTAGAGCATAAATGTGTGTGTTTTGTTTCTTGTCTCTGGCAGCTCAGACAATTTTAAAAGATTTTCACAGATCTGACTAATAAACCAAGCTACAGTTTTGATCTTGTAAACACTTAAATGTATACATAACTTTATGTTTGTGTAAGATGTTCTGCTAAAATCCAGTGAGAATGTTCCTGTCAGCAAAGTTTTTATATGAACAGGCTTCTTTGCAGGACTGGAGTCAGTTGTATTCAAATTAGTTGGGGCAAATGCTGGTGTGCCATAGGCACCTGCCTCTGCTGGGTGTTGGGACTGTTGCCATTGGGCACTGTATACTGGGGTGTGGAAGCATTTGGTCTCCGCTGGTTGTCTGTTGGGTACCATATAGATTAAGAACAATTGCCTCATGTTGTTGGTTTTATTGGCCAATGTCCATGCATCATGATTCAGCCCTTTATTTTTAGCTACTAAATTGCAGCCAACTGCTGAACAGAACACAGATAAGGCAGCTAATTTTAATATGAAAATCACAGTAACATATTGGCTTCATTGTTAAAAAAAATTTCTTTTTTCTTGTATTCCCAGAATTGAAAATAACTGGTAGATTTTTTTTTTTTTTTCCCCAGAGGTCTTGTTCTCACATCAAGCTCTTATGGAAAAAAAGTACACTTAAAAAAGCAAAACATAAAGACTGTGACAGGATGAGTATTCATGAGTCTCCACATGGCAGAGATAGTTAATAATTTTTAAAAATATATAAGACTGTTTTGTTTATGGAAGACTTATTTTCAGAAGTTTTGTGCATTTTTGACTGTGGGAATAAGCTTGAAAGGCATAGAAGACAAATGTAGTCCCTGATTAGCATCCTTTTAAAATAATGAAAGGAGTCATCAAATCCCAGTTTTCCCTTGTGCCAAAGTTGTCTCCCTTTCCTCTGACTGAGTGTCAGTCTGTGCAAAGAAGCAGGTGTAAAACTGACTTTGTCTACACTCTGCAGCCACAGCCTGCCATCATGTCAACAGGTTTTTTTGCATTTAAGGTCAGTATTTAGCTTGTTCTTCTGAATAGTTTCCACTTATAGAAGACTAGAACAAAAACATATGTTCTGCCATGCAAAAAAAAACTTCTCAAACTGAAAAATCAAGGTGAGTTTCAGTGTAAGTTGCATTTGCTGTGTGATGTTTCCAGAAATAAATGCTTTTAGTCATTGCTATGCAGATAGAGAGGTGTGCATTTTATCTGTGTTTGTAACACGGTTTTATTCTCCTCTTTGTTTTGTCCTCATCACTCTAGACTCAGTCCCTCTTTTGCCTTTGTCATAATTTTTTGTGTTATAAAAGTGAACACTATGACACTTTAAATAAAATAATATTGTAGAAACTGGGGACAAATACAAACAAAACATGAAGGAGAATATGTATACATTTTTTCTAGTATCTCCTTGGGAATCACACAATACTATACACCGTTTACGAAATTGCCTGTATAGTGTGATGTTTATATGAATGCTTTATATTCTTGAGCTCCTTTGTGAGTGTTAGAAATTCTTTGGTTTTTTTCCTTAGTACATTTCTATTTACTTCCATAAAAATTGTAGAAAAGGGGTTCAGAATGTTTGTGAGTGACAAAGTCAGTTACCTCAATAAGAACCATGTTTAAGAGTTAATTTTGATTTTAAGATGTTGTTGTGTGTGGGAACTACTACTGTTAAAGATACTTTTAATGTATTTTAGGTACTTTAATATTATATTAGGTGAAATATTTTATTATATTATGTGGAAAAAGATGGTTCTACTAGAACTGTCTATTCTAACCGTAACTGGAAAATATTTTGAAGAATTTGCTGGTAATCGTGGTTTCAACCTACTTTGTATTCTTATTGATCTATGAAGACCTTTCTATTATCAAAAAGTTCTTCTATTATCAAAGATTTCTTTTAGAAATGCAACCCTGTAAAACTATTCCTCATTGAAATTTAATTTTACATTTTAGGACCTGCTGGGTTACATTTCTAGACTCTTCAGAAAGTAGCATGCTGATCTTCCTATGATTCCGCCCTAACCAGCATGTGTTGAATCAATTTGTGTGCCTTTCAGAAATTTCTTACGTGGCTGTTTTACAGTTTTGAAAAAATCATATGAGCTTGGCAAAATATCTTTCCCGTAAATTTGTATTTTTAGGGATAAAGCATTGCTGTTGTTGTAGGTCATTGTTAGGCCAGTGACATAACAGATATTATTTTTACTGAGAGTGTCAGGCTAACAGAACTATTGTTGCTTGAGACATCCTTTCTAAAAGATTGGTATGTTCTATTTCAACCAGTACTCCAAACTTGCCTAGACCCAATATGGTCCAGATACAACTTGATATTTTTCTCTTGCATCTCAAGGAGGCAAGTTACCTGGATTTGTCAAATTATCTGAAGTTTGTAGTGACTATATGTTGTCCTCCTCAGTTACTCTTAAATTGCAAAATATTTCATCATATTTACTGTACCTATTACTGCTAAGAACAACAGTTCAGATTTTTAAGTCATTATCTGAAAAATCTGCCAGCATGAGATTTTAAGTGTCTCTCGGAGCTGCCACTGTAACCCATCCTTCCCTACCATGAGAACCGGAGGACTCAGGCCCAAAGCTTAGCATGGTGCTCTGAAGATTGCTCAGGCCCAGGGAAGGACACACCTTATGCACCAGGCAGGGTTTTATCCCAGGGTTTGCTGTATTAGGGCCAGGTTATCAGGAGTTCTGTGCTGTAATGCATGCACAGCCATGTTCTCCAGTAAACTGATACTAATTTTCTCATTGTGCCTAAACCTGAGACCGTCTCAAGAGCGGCTTATGACTAAAGTCAACAGTAGGATGTGGATGCATGGACTTGGGATCCTAGGAAGTAGTAGTGGATAAATAATCTCCTTTATTAGTATAATATTTTGAGATACACTAATGACTTATTATCAAGAGGTTTGGTGGGTTTTTTGCTATATATTTAAAGGAGAACAACAAGATTTCTGTAAAGGAATTTTTGTCCCTGGGAGAAGAACTGCAAAGTATTATGGGAGAGGATATGAAATTACTTTCTGAAAATTTAGCATGTTGGTGATGGAGACTGGTGCTTGGTTTTGTGTTGTTTTGGTTTTTTTCCACTGAGTTATTGTGGAATTCAAAATTTGGGTGCTGAATGCAGGATGAGAGGTAAGATTCGGAATAAGCCAACACAGACCTTGAAAGAGAAGACAAAGACCTTGTTTATTTCAGGGAACTGTGGGAGGTATTCAAAGAGAGGAGACATGATCCAGAGAGATGGATTAGTAAAATGACCTTTACAGCAGCATGATGAGTGAGGAAAAAAATTGTATTTATCAGCCTCAAGGAAAATAATGTTTTAAAGAGTCAAGACATAATTTTATTGTAAGTTTAGATGAACTTAAACAATTGGACTAGCATAGGAAGGGCTGTGTTGTAATGTCATTCTGCAGAACAAATCTGTGAGACTTTTCTATACCTGGGAGGATGCCCTGGTAAGAGGTGGTGTCATGGCACAGTTTACAGTCACCACATAAATAAGGGTTTGCAAATAACATAGTTTTGAATTCTTTCACGTTTTTAAAATTTATTTTAATTGTATTTATTGATGATCAATATTCAATGCACAGAACAAATAGGGGTTTTTGGGGGGGAGGGACACAAACACATGTTTGCTATGTTTCTAAACTATGGTTTTAAATTTTTGCTTAAGCAAACAATAGCTTTCTTCTAATGTCTTTTTAACTTCCTGATAGATAAATTGATGCCTTGCTTTTCAGTTGCATTTATTCCTTTTCCAGTTACACTTGTATTCCTTTTTTATTGTTATTCTGCTTTTACTTTCTTCAAGTTTAAAAAAAACCCATTATTGTAAACTCTCTCTGTGTTGTAAGATTGTATCCCAATCAACAAGTTGTTGGTCACTTCTTGCTGTTTAGTGTTCCCTCAGCTGACTTGGCTCATTGCTGTGGTGTACTGGAGACTGTTCCAGTATCTCCTTTCCTACCTAGTTTATTTAAACTAGCTGCAAAACAAACTGTACTTTTTAATCACTGTGACTTGACTGAATAATTCTACATCTATACAAGTCTATAAATGCTTTTCCAAACCGCAATGTGAAGAAAACCAAAAACAGTAAAGCATTTAGGGCTCAATTGACCAAACCTGGCAAGCACTTGCTCACATCCCATCAGTTACTTACTGAAAATTTGCTTATTGATTGTCACAAAGCTGATAATCTGAATCCCTGCTTGCCTAGGAGACACTGAAAGCTTTCTGTGTGACACAAACTGATACTTTAATGCCATAATGCTGTTTCTATAATCTGTATTTTTTCTGTTTTCTTTTATTTTTTACAGTCTTATGGTAAAGGGGCAAGAAGGAAAAACCGATTTAAAGGATCAGATGGGAGTACATCTTCTGACACTACCTCTAACAGTTTTGTACGCCAGGTATGAGTTTTTCAGCTTCTGAAAGACTGGATGATTTACTGATGTAAATGTTCAAGTAATTTTTTTTTTTTTTTTGGAAATTGTCAAATCGAAGAGTGATGCTGTAGCCTGAGAAATAGCAGAAGCCTGTCCCGGCACAATGAAAAATATTTGGTTGCTATTGTTTTGGTCTTGGCAGGAAAATACTTTTTCATTTCTCATTCATTTCCATGTATAGTAGTTTTCCTTATTTCTGTTACTCTAATTCCATCAGGTGATTAAAGCTGGAGGAGGAGGCAGAGTCTGATGGGAGTGCCTGAAGTGGCAACATTTGGGAGAAAGAATCAAAACCCTATCAATCCTCAGGGTTTTCCTACTTAAAATAGTCCTGTGTGAGGCAGTGTTAACCTAGTTGCTTTCCTCCCACATCCCAGTGTTATTTTGAGGTATAGTTTGGAGGGGAAATCCCTGGCAACATTTGTCCCCATTGCACTGATGTTGAAAAAAGCCTGTCAAAGATGGGGTGGTGTTGTAGACTCCCATGGCCGGTGTCTGCGTGTCTCTTCCTCAGAAGGAGAGATCCAAATGGAACCTCATGGAGATCCCAGCCCACTGGGTGCTTGGAGACAGCTCAGTCTGGCTGACAGAGGTATCTGGGAGGGTATCCAGAGCCCAGTGTGGTCTTTGGCTGAAGAATGGGGCTACTGAGACTGTGCTTTTGGGGAGGGAGTGTGTGTTTTGATGTGCTTGTGATCGTCAACAACTTGGAGAGCAGAAATGATATGCAGAGCTTCACAGTGACTGAGCCTGTGCAGAGTCCAAAACACAGTTCTTCGTGTCCTGTTGATTTAAGTCATGGTATTGTGAATACAGACTTTGCCATCTTTTTCAGAGGGGTTCTTGAATTTGGGAGCTTTCATGGTAGAGTTTTTGGTTTAACCACAAGCAGGCATCACACCTCCCTCTCTACTTGCTTGTTACGCATGTTCCTTCATCTCAAAACTGCATCTCCACTGTTGTTGCATTGATTGTATCAGTACACATCTTCTGTTTGCATCAGTACACATCTTCTGTTTGCAAAATTCTACTTTGTCCTGGTGTAACCATGTTGATAGGTTTTGTGATAGCCTGTGGATTTGATAAAGTCAGGCCCCTATTGCATTTCAGTGTCGGTTGGACATAGGCATGAAGTATTAATTGATCATGGTAATTTCTCAGTGGCAGTAAACAATATCAAGGTATAAACCCCAGATCAAGTAAATTACTTATTTGTGACATTTTGTCCTGTCTTAAAATACTCTGAAAAAAACAGTTCAAGTCGTGTTTGGGAGCAGCAACAGGATCTCCCCGTTCCAAGGAATCTTTGTGAGGAATTTTGTGTTGTTGTTTAACTTAGCTCCTCGTGGATGTTGCATTCAGCCTGGAACATTTTTAGCAGAGTATGAGTGTTTATTTTACACCAGCTGCACATGCTTCTTTCTTTGCCTTTCTTGTTTATCTAAATGAAATCTGAAGTTGGTCTCAAGTTTATCTCCTCTTGCTGTCATGAGGGGGAACGGGGCAAAGAGGATGTGTAGCACAAGGAGGTGGATCATCAAAGAATATAGAGATGTTTAGGTGGACTCCTGTAGTCAATGGAGATCTGACTGTCTCTAAAGACTGTTGAGGCATGATTTATCAAATCTTTAAAACAGATGTATAAAACAGGGTTGATGAGCTATAGTTTAAGTGTGCCTGTATCTTTCCGAAGTCTCTAAAGGGAGCATGGAGTGTGAATTCCTCAAGTGTTGATTTTTACAGAAGAGATTTATATATTTCCATGAAATAAACCCAAATTTAGTAATTACTTTAGTGACATAATACCAATGATTGAAAGGTGAGTGGGCTTCTGCGAAAAATCAGAGATTTCATAGATTGCTGAAGTGAAACTCAGTCTTGTGATGTTATTGTCACTGAAGATAATGGAGATGTTAATGAATAAATGAATTAATGAATAAATATATGTTATGTGACATTGTCCAGAATAAATTTTAAAAAATGCCCACAAAACATTCCAAGCAAGTAATGTGCAGGCAGAGCTGTTCAAGTTGTAGCAGAAGTATGAGAGAAATGCCTCTTCACAGTTACTTCTGGGAGGTTTATTTCAGAGTTTGGCTACATCTTCAACAGGTTTTCTTGCTCTGATTCTTTTCCTGGGACAGCTTGGTTTCTCTTGCAGTAAGAAAGAATTGCTGCCAAGATGACCAGGATGCCCAGTGTCCCAGATATTAAACAAAATGGGTGCAGTCATTTTTGGGCTCAGCTGCTCTGTCCTTCCCAGAAACTACCTTGGTGCTACACATTGCTTGTTCCTGTCTGTCTTGGGGGATATTTTGCCCGGTATAAATGAACAGAATTGTTTTGTAATAATCATTTATTTGCAGGAGAAAATGTGTTTTTCCCAATGTAGATGAAAGTGGCAGAAAAGCAGAGAGGAAAAATGAATTCAAAGCCAGTATAATCAATGATGGACCCTTTATTTTCTGTTATTTTGTTTGAGTTCTGTCTTAAAACCAGGAAGTGAGTTTTTGCAAAAAAGTGATTTGTGGATTTATTTGGCACTTGTTTTGATGCAGACATGGGATACACACAACCTGTTTGTTTCAACAATACTTGTGATGTTTATAGCTGCCTTTTTTGCCTCCAACCTCATTTCCCCCCATTGGTTCCTGTCATCTCCTTTCCCGTTTACTTCTTAACTTGTCCTGCAACTTTTGTGTGCATCTCTACAAGTACTCCCTTCTGCACTCCAGAAAGAATCCTTGGATTGTCCTGAACATTTATCACTAAGATCTGTCTACATTCTTCATAAAGAAGAAAGAATGTTTGGAAGGTGCTTTTGCGTAATATTTAGCTGGCCTGTCCTTAAACTGGGAGAGCTGTGAAAGGTATGCAGGTTGTCATCAGCATCAATGGGAAGTGGATATTTCCTAAAAGAGAAATATATTGGCGCTGGATAAAAGAGACAAATATGTCTAATCCTAAAGAAATGTTATGTATGTTGAAATCAGTGGAGGTATTTGGCAAGAGCAAAGATACAGGATTCAGTCTTTTGCACCTACAAAGTTGCTGGGCATTTAAGTTAGAGCTGCTACAGGAGGGAGCGACTTAGTGTCTATTGCTTACATTGATAAAGCTTTGTTGTGTCTGCATTTTATTATTTCCTTAAGGACATATGCCCCTCTAGCTCCAATATATACCTGGCAGTTTCCTGCTATACATACCAAATGCTACAGTAGTAAAAATAATGCCAACTTAATTTTATTTGAATGAGAGAGAACAAAGTAACATTTTACTCAATTGGTTGAAAATTCCTGCTGTTGTATAAGAAGAAAATGCACTCTGCAAATTCTGTGCACAGTGATCTTTTCCTTTTAAGTCTGTTTTGCAGAGTGTTGAAAGAAAGCAGAGCAATCTATCCAGTATTGTTTCTAATGTGTATAGAAGAAGCCTTAAAATGGAGCAAGAGCATCTGTATATAATATACAAATTTAAAAAACCATTCTTTTCAATCCAATTAAGCCTCCTTTGTGCTGGGAGTTTTATGTATTGATATAGATTAATACTTTAAATTTTCCTTCTGACATTAAGAAAACCCAAGAGATTTTAGAAGAATGTTTTGGTTCATGTTCTATTTGTTTGTTACAAAAAATTGTTTGTTTAGTTTTGTCTCCTTTTATTGATGATATCGGAGCTTAAAAAAATAACAACTTGGCCTTTCTTTCACTTGCCAGCAGCTATTTCTTGACTTTTCAGTAGCAGGAGAGGGACTTTTTTTTCCCTGTCTGTTTTGTTGTGAAGTTGTATTGGCAATTAAGCCGTGTATTTGGAAAGCAGAAGCATCAGTGCTCTCCAATCAGCTCCTAACTGAATTTAATCAATTGTCTTTAGGGAGCTAAAGGACATTGTGTTATATAGTTTTCATCATCTTTTTGAGCTTTGAGTGATAAGCAGCTTGTTCTGAGGGTTAGTTATGAAAGACTGAATTGGATCTGATCTCTACTTGTTGCTATTTTGACTGATGCTTGGTAATGATTTTGTTCCCAAGGGTTTTTTCAAAATACGGATCAGACAAAATATTTTGCACACAACACTATGGTGCTTCCCGGGAACATTATTTTAAGCAAATTGCATGTTCTGATAGCATTACGTATTTTGTGGTTGTGCTTCTGGACCTGTCTTTGTCAAGGTTTTATTTTAAATCTTAATGATTAATCATAGAGGCAGCCTGAGTTGCTGGGATTTTTATGTGTTGCAAGGGCAGATTAGATTGTAAAATAGGCTGTAGTCTATGGACTGGCTTACAGAAATATTTAAGGTTTTACAAATCTGTTTTTTTGCCTTTAAATATTGGCTTGATGCCTGTTACACTGTGTTCACTCAAAAACATAGCTATAAATAATTAGGTAGGGAATTCATTATTCTTTTACTTTCCTCTAAGGACATTTGCTTAGTTGTGTAATTACCTATTGAATTTTATGAATGGTAAAACTAAGATTTGCACTAAAAACCAATTTGAAAATATTGACTTAGTTTTGCTCACAAACATGCCTCTTAATCTTGATTTCACCAGAGAACTCGGCCATGTCAGACATGTATTCCTCTTATTTTAATTGCCTTTTTTTCCTGATGTAGAGCTTATGTTTGATTTTTTTAATTTTTCTTTTTCTTTTCACAAGGGGAAGAGCTTATGTATTCAGCTCATATGTGCAACCTGCTAGTGAGGCAATGCATTTACGGGCTGAGCCACAAAGAGCTTGTATAGAGTGGGCACAGATAGCTTTGGTCTTCATACCCAGTACTAACAATCTTATGCTGCTTTCCCTGCTAGAAGCTATTTCTGCTTCTTGAAGACTATATGTGAACAAGATTGTGGCTAGATGGAAGATCTAAATAAATAATTACAAAAAAAGCTAATTTGCAAATTGATATATTCTTACATTCTTTGTGTGCCTCAAATGATGAGACGTGTATGGCTTCCA